TTATGTTATGGGATATAATTTTGAGACTGAAAAATGTAATAATAATAATAATAATAATAATGCATATATAGGATATTAAGCCTCGATTAAGAAGGGGGGGGGGTTGAAGAACATATTAATGTATATAAAATATTCGTGATACAACAATTTACATAACATATGTTTATATAGTGGGCATATTTTCAAGTTCCGTCCCGGTGCCCACTATATAGACCAGTGGTTCCCAACTCAACAATAGGCACGGACCACTTTTATAAATTTTTCACCGTCACGGACCACTCCCTGATTTCAACCCCCCCCCCCTCTCTTTATATTACTTTTTTTTTTTATAGTTTTATGTATAGTTTATAATTTCTAGGTACAAAATANAATTTAAATTTTACATTTTACGAACTTATATTAATTAACTTATTCAATGAGAAAAAAATATAACAAATTTATATTATTGAGTATTCATGTGACTTATTAGGGCGCGCTTCTTTTACCAGTTGTGAAATTCTTGAAACAATGCTGTTGCTTAGTGCCAGTCGCATATCATCACTTGGATTCAGACGATTTCGTTGTTTATTTTTAATAGATAATAGTTATAGTTATAGATAATGTTATTTATATCCGTACATAAATTGTCATCGGTCGCGATAGTGTGGTATCTGGCTGTTAGGCGCTAAGCCGTTAATAATAAAAACTATCAAGTATAATTTCGCTCATTTTTTTAAATTTAAATTTTTTTATTCGCGGACCACTTAAGATGAGTCCACGGACCACCGGTGGTCCGCGGACCACCAGTTGGGAACCACTGATATAGACTAAATCTGACATTAAATACAAATGTTACATTTTTCTTCTATTAAAATATATATTTTTGAGTAACTGTAATTGAAAAATTGGAAAAAGAAAGTGTATGTGTAAGAAAACAGTAAATGATCAGTGAGAAAAACGATTTATTCTAGTCCGGCTCGATTGCCTCGAGTACAGTGTTCTACATATGCGATTTTTGTACATTTCCACATCCACTCGATCATCATTACGATGTGTAACTAATATGGACGTATCTATAGTCGAATTATATATTATGTTGTATACTTGTATAAATAATCGAAACAGGTTTATAGTCTGTACGCCGGTTTTAACGTTAGCTACACATACACTAGAAGCCTATATACATATAAATTCGAAAAAGATAGAAGAAGTGTGAGGGAAATAAAGTCTGCTTCCTCCTTTTAAGAGTGAAAAAAACACTTAATGTGGTCATATTCCAGTATTGATCTCGGACCTTTTAACGAATAATACGCAATTTCCCACATTATCGTTGACTCAATTGATATCATTATTTTTGATTTTACACATGTTTTGTATACGTGTGGAAACTACCGAAATTTACAGAGGAATCAAAGAGAAAGAGAGAGAGACAGTAAGTGAGAATATCGACCGACACGTATAGCTATAAGTCCCTACTTCTTAAAAACCCCGGTCTCGAACTCCGCGGTCCCGAGTGTACTTACTGTTATATTTTAAGGCGTATAGTTTTTGCAACATTTTTTGTATTTTTTGTTCGTGGTTTAATCGCAACAACATCAGTTATAAAATTAGTCTCACGAAACTTTATAATGCTTTTTTTTTTCGCCCAATAATTATACAGTGACTGCGGTAAATCGAAAAACTAAAATATTACAATCGTAAGATACATTATATATACCTAATGCACGGTCTCTGCTCGAATTATATCGAGAATTTGATGGTAAACGGATAAAAAAAAGTTTCCGATATACGTATTATAATTATTTTATACGGGTGATTCCAAATTTATGTTACTACTATTTTGTCATGGAAATATTCAAAATAGAGAAAAATATATGACACAAAATTTAAACGCCGCGTGCCATACCACTACACTATATTTTGTATAGCACTATGTATTCCACTACTTTCCCCTTACCTAAACTATAAAAGGTGGAATATCTCATCAATGAATTGATGGAAATCAAAAATATTAACACAAAAATATATTTAAAGTAACAATTCTATTGATGGAATTTTTAATATTAGTCCTTATTTGAATTTAAAAAGTTGACACAAACCTCCCCACCCCCCCCCCAAAAAAAACACTTAAAAAAATAAAAAATTGTTTTAAATATTTATAAATCGAAAAATGTCTTTATTTAAAAATATTACTGATATATGATAAAATGGTTATAACAGAAATTTTTAATCACTTTGTATGTATGCATATGTATATACAGTGAAACCTCCACTAACGGACACCTCTCAATAGCGGGCGTTTTTTGGGGAACGGGGACATTTTCACTACTTTTCAATGGGATAACCTCCGAATAGCGGACTCTCCGAATAACGGATATTATTTTAATCTTTATTTGAAAATAATACGTATTCACATTCGTGTGTACTCTCGTAGTAATGTAATTACGATAACAAACTCGTTTTTATCGGGACGATAAAATTAGATAAATTCGGTTATCGGTGAAACGGTTATGTGTTATGACAAAAGTATGTCAGTTAGTGACGGTTAGGTACGTGATAATTACGTTAAAACGAAAGATTTTTTCAAACAAAAATAATTTAAAAATACATGTACATAATTTTGACTTTAATAATAATATACTTTAAATAATAATAATTAATAATAATTAATAATAATTTGTAAAAATACAAAAATGTAATAATTTACAATAACTAATATGTAATAACATTATACATACATAGTACATTATTATATAAATTAATTTCAAAAATGTATCCCCTCTGAATAACGGACAAAATTTTAGTGACCGAGAGTATTCGCTATTCAGAGGTTTCACTGTACATACATTTTAGATTCTAAGCAGAATGAGAAATGTATTGATTATACAAAAATGTTTATTTTTTATTATTATTTTTGTTTATCTGTGACCAACATTTCTACCAGCAATTTTGCTCCAATCTTCAATTATAGCGCTTCTTTTAAAAGGAAATCTGACCAGGGTGGTAGTTTTTTGGCTATTTACTTTTAGTCATTTTTTGATTTTCCTAGCTGTTAATATTAATAAAAGGAAAAACCTTAAAGAAACTTAGGAAAAGGGGGATAATAGTTTCAATATATAATGAAAAAACATTATCAAAGAAAATATAATGCATATCTAATTATTTTGCTATAGTATATATTGTTGACAAAGCAACACTATTAATCTAATTTCGCTCAGATTCGTTTTTCGTTAGTAATGGTTAATCGTTGTGTACAGATGTACATTAAATTTCTCTCTAACTTCCCAACTTCTCACTTACAACAGTGGCAAAAAAAATCTGTTTAAATATTTAATGTTTGTTTATGTTTTTCTTTTTTTATGTTTGTGGTTAATATTATTTAACAATGTTTTAATTCAGTTACCTCATGATGGTAAAAAACTGAAACAAGTTGTTACTTAATAAATTTAAGTAACATTTTATGTTAGTTCAAAGTTATTTAAACAATATTTTCTATAAAAAATCGCGTTTTACTTTTTGATTTTGTGATTTTATCTGACGATTAATTTTTAATTCAAAACCGGTCGTACTAGGTGGTGTGCACTTTGCACCCGTGTGTTTCGCGTCCATTATCTTTTTGGTGCGTTTTGCGCCCGTTTACGAAATCTTTACCTGCTGAAATTATTACAAAGCGGACTAATCTCTCAAAATTTAAAATTATATAAAATTAATGTTATATAATATAATTGTATAAAATTGTCTAATTATTATAGTCTACCGTTTCCTTGTATATTCGAAAATCCAAACATAACGCAACAAAAGTCGAAACTCTACTAACAGTGAACATTTGATCGATAATAATAATATGGTTATTGGTTATCCGAAGCCTATATCAATTTATAATTTAAATTATATAATTATGGTGGAAAATTCATATGTATAAAACTACGTGAAATATAATTGTATAACTATTATACCTATCGGTTATCATTTGTTCAGAAATCTAAATGAAAATATAATTTAAAAATTGTATACGATTATATTATATCATATTAATTTTAAATAATTATTTAAATAAATTAAATACAAATTTATACGATATTAAACATTTAAACTATAATAATTTGACAATTGTATGTGATCAAATTATCTAATATTAATTTTATAAAGTTTTAAATTTTGGGTGAGAGTCCGCCTTTTATAATTTCAGCAGGTAAAGATTTCGATATCAGGCGGAAATATCACGAAAAAAATAATGGTCGCAAAGTGCACAGTGCCTCGTACAATGTACATTTCATAATACTCTAGGTGGCGCATTTATTTATTTATATTTTTAAAAAAAATTAGTTGAACAAATTTCAGTACTTTTCTAAATATCGAGAGTAGCTTCTTAAATAGTCTACCTATCGATATAAATGGACATACATAGACATTTGTCCAGTAGGGAGGAGGTAAAAGTAATATAATATAACTGAATGGCACGTATTATAGCTAACGTGGCCATGGTTTAGGCTAGAAATTTTGATCCAATTTATAATGATAGTAGTTTTTCTGGAATGAAATTTGACTGGAGTTGTACTTTAGGGAGGTAATTTTTCGATTTCTTCAAGAGTTTTCTAATCAAATGTGAAAAACCAAAAAAAAAAAAAAACTGTTAAAAACGGTAAAATCGGTATATTAAATTAATATTATTAAAGAAAATATATAATGCTTATTTTATTATTTTACTATACTATTATATGCATATTGTTGACAAAAGATCACTATCAACCGAACCCCGCTCAGAATCATTTTTTTGTTTGCAATGGTTTATCGTTGCTTACTGGTATACGTTAGATTACTTATAACAGGGGCTGCACCCAACCCTATTATTCTAGGACATTTATTTTCACGGTTTTGCAATTTTTTTTAAAAACGGCTCATTTACAAGGGTACTGATCCTTGGTTTAGACAGACGGAATTAAAAACCCAGAGGGAGCAATTGCCCCGTCTTGTCTCCTTCTTGCTAACATATTTTAATACAAATATTATCGATATTATAGATGGCCGAACCGCCAAAGAAAGACGATAATTTGCCAGGTCCCTCAATAAACAACTACAAATCGGCTCTAAAACGATCTCATTCCGAATGTGGCAAGGTTGAGGAGAACGCTTATGACTTGAATAATTTGCCAAAATCTTTAACAGACTACAAATTTGCTAAAAAAAGATGCGTTTCTGAAAATGGCTCGGACGAGGAGGACGATTGTAAAAACTTCACTTCAGACTCAGAAATTTCAGATGATAATGCCAAAACCGCCAAAGATGAAATGCTAATTATTCGGGCCAAAGCGACTAAGTCTTTTTTTGCGGATCAATTAAAATGGTACACATCAGAATTAAATTCTCTTCAATCGACTCGTAAGCCGTACACACAGGATGAGACGAGTTCAGATGAATCTCAATTTTAAATGCAGTTTACCTCTCCTTACTAAACTTTCTAGCAACGCCATGGCAATTCCTCTTGTTTTATAACATATATATTATATTCAGATTCTTTGTGTGCATTTTTTTCGTGTCAAGTATATACAAATCTTTTAATAATCGAGACGATATATTATAATTTAGATAATCATATAGATTCACATTTAGTTTGGCATTCTGGGGGAAAAAAGCTCTCATATGTAAATGTCAATAAGTTCACGTGATCGTTTAACATTTTGGTACTCGGTTTAAAATAATAAACAATTACATAAGTACACAACATAAACTCAAAATAGTATACTCTTATAAAATGAAGATTTTTTTCCTATGATATAATTATATTGTTTATATTTATTGGTGAATATGAATACCGACTTAATTTTTCATAAATAAAGACGCCCCTCTCCCTTCAAATAGATACAAAAACAGATACCAAATCATAATATTTATCACTATTTTTTTTTCCCCGGTATAATAAATGAAAAACTATAGGAAAAAAAAAATTACATAATATACATATTTTTGGTATGAGGCCTACGAAATATTAAACGATTATAGTATCTATACAGTATACTTGTTACACACATATATACACACATACACACACACACACACACTCACTCACGCACGCACGCATTTACTTACGCTCACACGGGATATTAAACCACCTACGGTTCGACAAAATAATATTGTAACCGTCTGCCCGATCGTGATTTACAATATATATCACGCCCCGTATGTGGATATAATCGAAAACTACATTCCTCGCTTCGCTTAGAATCAGAGAAAAAAAGTGAAAAAAAAAAACACACTGTAGTAATAACGTACTGCGCCCCCCGTCGAATAGGGTGTTTTCGTGAACCATTATCCGTAATATTTATTATCTCTCTCACCCGGAATGTCAAATCTTAAAACGAGTCTTGTGTTTCTATGCACGTATGTACGTATATATATATTATATATATATAATAATAATAATAATATAACCTCTCTATAGAAAAAAAAATATAATATTGTATCGTTAGGTATACGCCTATATATAAAAACGATTTTTTTCTTTTTTTTAATTTTCGAGAAACATATTATTACAATACATTATAATATACTACATTATACTTAGTTATTTACCCGAAGAAATGTGTTTTTCTTATTATTTTTTTTTTGTCTACTCCTGTACCCTCTGTCGTCCCTAAAATAATAAATTACCAATTTAATGTGAGTATATAATACCTACCGTGAAGGTTTTACGGCCGTACATGTGGAGCCCATTGAAGACGAACATTTATTTGTTCCTTCGATTCGGTCGAATTGTTAAACTATCCCTCTCCATCTCTTCGCAGTTGGGGTTCGTATTGGACTCAGGAGTGTTGTCCGTTTCGTGTGGCTGCATGTAATAGAAATCGGTTGTTGTGACCTTACTCAAATTCAATATAATAAGTATAGTTAGTATTTGTACAAGAATCGCCCGATAACCTAAAATAAATAAAACAAAAATTGGTTTTTTTTCGCTATAGGTATTAGGTATGTGTTATAGCATGTAGATGAAGAATTTATAACACATAGTCATATTATTATTTAAACCGTATATAGTGATGTTAGAATAACATCAACATTATTATCGAAATTTATCTACCTACCTGTTTATCGTGATTATAATATTATTATAAATACATGAATTAGATAGTAGAGTAATAATATTTACGGTTTTTGTATTTGTTTTGTAACGACAGTTTAACTTGATTTCTACACGAATTCATTGAAAAAAAAAAAACCTCTGTATTAAAATAAACTGTTCGAAAATTCACAATGAACTTTAGATGAGTAATAACTATTTTGCTCGTTTGCAAATGTACAATTTCTAATTTTTATCAATTTTAATTTGTATATCAATTAAAATTTGTTTATGTAAAATAATATTATTATTATAACCACCTACATATCTTGTCCATGAATCTTTATAACATAATGATCAATTGCGTTGTTTCCATTAAGAGTATAAAAACATATTGATCATTATTGACATTTTCGATAGACGAAAAAACTTAGAAACAGATGAAACTGAAACTATACTTATACAGGCAAGGGTGAACAAGAAGAACAATGAAGAACAAGATTACGTTTTAGAGGAAAAAACCTATACATCATTTGGTATACAAAAACAAAATCACTCTCGTCACTTTACATAATTTATGTGTGTCGTATATTATGCCCATCCATTTTGGTACAAATTCTGATTTATCGGAAGAGCCATGCAACTTTTCACACTTCGTGTAATCATGTAAAATCACGTCTCATGTCGGGTGCTCCATCATATACCTAATAATAATATTATAATGTACATGACAAAATTCAGCAATGCACGTGTTTTAATAAGTTCAGTTTAGTATATTGTTGTCACTACTCCATTATAAGTTTAGTGTACAAACAAAATGATACCCGACCTTTTTAAAATAACTTTTTTCCGTGTACAAGACGCACAACTTCTTGAAAAACATGTCGCATATATAGTATATACGTAATACTATAATACAATATACTCAAAGGGATTGATAAAAAATGAGGAGAAACTGTCATGTAAGCGTACCGGTATAGTGTTTTTTAAACCGAGAACCAAGAGACTAAGAGTCAGCAATAGTCCATCCCTTTCCCCCCGTATCTCGGAAAAAATAGTTTTTATACTTTATAGTGCAGCTTTCTTGATAAAATTATAAGTCTATAAATACAAAAAAAAATATGTGTTTATTGTTAACAAATCATGAAACACAAATCGAATAAACGGGCAGACTTCTTCAAATGAAATCACTGGTCGTTTTAATTTAGACGACAAAACGGGTATAATAGGTTAGGAGTGATATTTTATTTGTGATAGCGTTAAAATAATAATATAATATTGTCTTTAATGATTACTGTATAAAGTTCAAGTGGTGTATAAATAAAAAAAAAAACAAAAACATTTAAAATAAACCTTAAAATCAATAGAAAAAAGAGAAAAAACACCAAAAACCATAAAAAAAATTCACTGAAATAATTATTACATTATAATTGTTAAAAATAATTATTACAAATTATTATTGCAATTTAAAATATTATAATATAGGTACTTAACGTCTATTTATTAAAAATATAAAAAAAAACATTAGATTGATTCCTCTGCTATTTTGAAACATCTATTATTATAATATATTCATAAAATCAAATATGTAGGAGTGTAGGTAAATAAAACCATAATTTCATGTTTTATAAAACAAAATATTAATAACGAAAAAAGTCCTAAGTAAAGCATTTTTAGAGTAAAAAAGAATCGAAAACCAATTTAAAAAAATTTGCTAAAAAAAATTTATTTCTGACGCTAATTCGTTGTATTCACAGAAACTCCCAATTTTTTCCGAGAATTTAATATTCTTTGTTTTTCTTGCAAAATTGTAAAATTTTTACTCATGCCATTAATTCTATTCGTATGTTTGACGCTTTATGCCTGTTAAATTTTAATTTGAAGTTGAAATTATTTATGCTCGTTAATCCTTTGACAAATTATTCCATTTTTAAGTACTAGTGTTGGAAGGGTAGTAGAGGACTATTGAAATTCCGCTCACCGTGTTGCAACACAAATGATACTCCTCTACTCTCTCCTTAACCAAAACTTAAAAATAAAATAACTTGTTAACGGTTTGATGAAAATAAAAAATTTCATCACTGGCCTTTATTTATACTATAAAACTCCATTGATTTATGGAATTTTGAATATAGGTTGCTATTTAAAAATCAAAAGTAGGTACTTTTTTCACACTCAAAAAAAAGAGTGACGATAAAATAATAGGTTTGTATCATTTGGGAACTGTGTGTTCCTTAAATTTAAAAAAAATGAAAACTTTCGAAATTGTGTTTTATGTTAAATGAATCAAATGATACAATCTTAGATTTTGAATAAAGCAAAGAATTTATTGGTTATATTACGATGTTGGCAATCGTTTTATTTTTTGTTTCTTATTATTAAGTTTTTATTATTTTTATCTTTTAATTTTTTTTAAACATTTGTTGTCTTGATAAAGTAATACTATTGACCGAGCTTCAGATTGAATTTGAAATAATCAAAGTTTTTCAATCTGTATTTGTGTATGTACTTAAAATTTCATATGAACTAACACGAGTGAACAAATAGGGACAAATAAATGAATGTTTGAGTACCTACATTTTGGACTTTTTTTGGATTTTAAACTCAAAATTTGAATTTTAGATTCCGAGCGTAGCGATGGAATTATTGGTTTTAGTAATATGTTTATTTCTTTTTTTTTCCTAAACTGTGGATACGTTTTTTCCTAGTAAACTTGCGCCAATTTTTACATGTAGCAACTTTTCTGAAAGCTCAAGTTGTCTATATAATACTTTAAAGATGTCAATTTTTAATTTTTGACCCCATTTTTTACAAACGCGGACGACGTTTTCTACCAGAAAAAATGATTTAATCGAAATACACAAGGTACCTTTTTTGTTGACTTTATAGTTTACTTTCTTACGGTATAATTGCAAAAACTTTTGAGCCACTTTTGAGATTTTAAGGAATTAAAACTGTGGTGTTAAAATGGTACACACATATTTCTGTGGCTTATGTCTAAAGGTACTAATCTCACTTTACAGCTTTTGGTAATTAGGACTAATTAATTCCTGTAATACGAATTTTTAATTAATTTTTTTACGGACCGACGACATATAATAATATTACAAGGGCGCCGGTTACCTACATACCTTGCACATGTCACTAATACCTAGAAGCTGGAAAATAGCTGGATGTGTACTGTGTGATAGCTCAGCAGCAGTAGTCGGGTTCGCTGGGCAAGTACTGCTGGGAACAATTTAAAATACCACGGTCTACGTCGCTGTATAATAATAATAATTTCTGATAGCTAAGTGATTCATATAAAACATAATTCACAGCAACTAAATTATAATAATATAAATGGGCTTATGACCGTCCAGCCTAATAATCGAT